ACCAGCACACTTAAAAAGAAGTATAACTTCGCCTCCAGGTCCTTCAAAAGAGGTATTGCCAAGGCAAAGTCAGAGCAGAATTGGCGAGAAACTAGTTCGCCTTCCTTCGGGAACCCGTGCATGGTGCAGGGGAAGGCGTTGGCCGTTAGTTTGAACATTGCGAAGGCCTTCGATCGGGTTTGACACAAAGCGCTTCTTTCGAAGCTCCCTTCCTATGGGCTTCCCGAGAAATTGTGCAATTGGATCACCAGCTTCCTTGACGATAGGAGCATCAAGGTCGTTGTAGATGGTGCATGCTCCGACTACAAGCCTATTAACGCATTGTTTCTTCTGCATATCAATGACTGATATGTTGCTAACTGGTAACATTCATTGCTATGCGGATGACAGCACTGGTGATGCTTTATACACCGGCCGTGCCAATATTTCTCAGAAAAACGTTGCTGAGTACAAACTTGTGTCTGAAGTCGAGTCTTTGCTGAACAGTCTCGGATTGGGGGCGACTAAATCTAGTCCAGTTTACTCCTCAGAAGACACAAGTTTGCGCGTTTACCGCTAAAAAGAACCCCTTTGTCGTATCTCCTCAGTTTCAAGGCACTCCCCTTCTTACCTCAGTCAGTATCGGAATCCTCGGATTCGACATATCCAGTGACGTGCAGTTTCGTGGTCACTTGGAAGAGAAGGCCAAATCGGCCTCTAAAAAGCTTGGCGTGCTCAGCAGAGCGGGACAGTATTTCATGCCGGCACACCGCCTGCAACTTTACAAGACGCAGGTTCGGCCTCACATGGAATACTATTACCATCTCTGGGCAGGGGCTCCCCAGTGCCAGCTCCTTGCACTTGAGCGCATCCAGCACAGAGTGGCTTGAATCGTCGACGACCGAGTCCTTTCCGATCGGCTGGATTCGTTGGCACTGCAAAGAGATGTTGCATCCCTTTGCATTTTCTTTCGCATCTGCCACGGGGAGTGCTCTGAGGAATTGTTCGGATTAATCCCAGCCGCCAAATTTCACGAACCCACATCGTGGCAGAACTCCCGGTATCATCCACACCATCTGGATGATTGGCGGTCCACCACTGTGCGATTTAGAAGATGTTTTCTTCCTCGCACGACTTCCTTGTGGAATCGAATACCATCAGCGATTTTTCCCGACCGATACGACTTAGGGACCTTCAAGAAAAGAGCCTACTCCTTTTTAAAAGGCCGGCAACGCATCTGCAATTCCCCTGTTGTTGCGGTTGTTCATGGGCGGCGGTAGTCGCTTACTATCAGGTGAGCCGCATGCTCGTTTGCCCCTTCTCCTATAAAAAAAACATTAATATTTATACGATACTAACGTCATTCGCCGTTAGTGCCGTGTAGTGGCGGTCAAGAATATCCACTCCCCCATATCTTCCCGTGGGTGTCGTAAAAGGCGACAAAGGGAAACAGGGAGGAGATGGGCAGCAGCATCTTCCTGATAACAACAAACTTACAATAAAAAAAATGCGGTTGCCAATCCGCTCGCCAAGCGTGGCAACTATGGCAAATACCCCCCTATGATGAGAGTAAAAAAGAAACGGCCCCCAGTTCCCGGCGGCCCCGCTATTCCTGCCTACGGTAGCGACCATGGTAACGGCGGGACAGGGGGTGCTAAGAATCTCCGGTGGAGGTTCGTTTGTCACCTAAGACGATTCGACCTTGTAACATACAACGCACGCACCCTAAGGACTGACGAGAAGATCGTGGAGCTGAAAGAAGAGATAGACAATTTACGCTGGCATATTATAGGATTATCCGAAGTCCGAAGAGAGGGGGAGGACACGGTAATCCTCGAATCCGGCAACTTCCTCTATCACCGGGAAGGCGACCATCTGTCCCAAGGAGGTGTCGGATTTATCGTCCACAAGTCTCTCGTTAACAACGTTGTAATGATCGGGAGTGTGTCGACGAGGGTTGCGTACCTTATACTCAGAATCACCAAACGGTATTCGCTGAAGATCATACAGGTTTACGCACCAACCTCGGCACACCTCGATGAGGAGGTGGAGGAAATGTATGAGGATATCTCTAGAGCTATGCCTTCCTCCAAAACCCAATATACGGTGTTAATGGGAGACTTCAATGCAAAAATTTGTGCCTAGACAAGAGAAAACGGTTAGCTGAAAGTGGGGAAATTTGGAATAGGGCAACGGAACCCAAGGGGCCAGCAGCTGGCCGACTTCATGTAGACTTCATGATGAACTCTTTCTTCCAGAAGTGGCCCCACAGAAAGTGGACCTGGTTGAGCCCCGACGGTTAGACAAAAATAATTTTTTTGTCGAATTTACGATTGACTTCATTATGATGACCAGACAACAACTGTTCAGTGATGTCTCCGTGATCGCGAGGGTGAAATCTGGTAGCAATCACCGAATGGTTAGAGGCACATTGAACCTAAACGTTAAGTTGGAGAGGTCTCGTCTAATGAAGTCAACGCTCCGTCCCCCTCGTGCTATGTTCCAAAGTCCTGAAACCTTTGAGCTCGAGTTACAAAACCGTTTTCAGTGCCTAGAAAACTGCAATGAACGACGATATGAATGACAAGCTCGTGGAAACTGTCCATGTGGTCCGGAGCTAAGTTCTGCAAGACACGCCGCACAAGAACACAAAAAAAAACTCTCTGATCACACTCTTAATCTCATGGCTGTTAGACGGGAGATGAAGCTACATTCTTCAACAGGTTTGACAGCATACAGGCAACTGAACAGACAGATCTCCAAATGCATGCGGCGGGACTTACGCAACTTCAATACAGCTTGTATTGAAGAACCGATCGAGCGGAACCAAGGCTCAAAAGTCTTTGCCAGAGATCTGTCTGCCAGAAAGAGCCAAATATCAAAGCTGAAGGCCGTGTGGCACCATCGTTTCCGCGGCACCTGAGATTTTAAGTGAGATTGAGAGGTTCTATGGACAGCTGTACACGTCATCGTTGGAGCCACACGCAAGTGTGAGTAACAATCGTAGAGAAATCCTCAGTGTTCTTCAAGAAAGGTAACAATGCTCTCTTGAAGAACTACAGACCGATTTCCCTTCTGAGTCGCGTCTACGTGCTGTTTTCGAGAGTCATTACGAATCGTCTCGCACGCAGACTTGACGACTTCCAGCCTCCCGAACAAGTCGGTTGCCGAAAGGGCTTTAGCACCATAGACCATATACACACCCTTCGGCAAGTTGTACAGAAGTCCGAGGAGTACAATTTGCCACTATGCCTGGCGTATGTGGACTATGAGAAAGCTTTTGATTCCGTCGAAATTTGGGCGGTGCTGCAGTTGACTGTCGGTATATTGATGTGCTGAAGTGCTTGTACAGTAGGGCTACGATGGCTATTCGAGTACAGAACTAGAGTACGAAACCTATCCAATTGCAGAGAGGTGTAAGACAGGATGACGTTATATCCCCGAAACTCTTCACCGCTGCATTGGAAGACGTTTTCAAGCTTCTGGACTGGAAAGGATACGGTATTAACATCAATGGCGAGTACATCACTCACCTTCGATTTGCCGACGATATAGTCCTTATGGCAGAATCGCTGAAGGACCTAAGCACTATGCTCAACTACCTCAATAATATCTCCCATCGGATAGGTCTTAAGATGAACATGGACAAAACAAAGATTATGTTTAATGTCCATGTCACAACTATGCCGGTAGTTGTTGGGAGCACTAAGCTCGAAGTTGTTGACGAGTATGTTTACCTGGGACAAATAGTCCGACTAGGTAAGTCCAACTTCAACCGACAGGTCAATCGACGGAATCAACTCGGCTGAGCAGCGTTCGGGAAACTACGACACATCTTCTCGTCAGACATACCTCAAAACCTTAAAACGAAATTGTACAACCAGTGCGTGTTGCCAGTGATGACTTACGGATCTGAGACGTGGTCCTTCACTGCTGGACGTATGAGGAAGCTCAAGGTCGCTCAGCGAGCTATGGAGAGGGCTATGCTGGGGGTTTTTCTGCGTGATAAACTTAGAAATCAGTTTATCCGCAGTAGAACTAGAGTAACCGACATAGCCCAACGGATTAGTAAGCTGAAGTGGCAGTGGGCCGGCCATATAGCTCGAAGAACCGACAACCGATGGGGAAGAAAGGTTCTTGAGTGGCAGCCTCGTACCGGTAGGCGAAGTGTAGGGTGACCCCCCACGAGATGGAGTGACGACCTGGAAAGACATGCAGGAAGTCGATGGATGCAGGTGGCTCAGGACCGTGCTTTGTGGCATTCCTTGGGAGAGACCTATGTTCAGCAGTGGACTTATGAATGGCTGTAATGATGTCATTCAATTGTTTTGCCTTCCCGGAACCCCTCCACTAACACTTAAACTTCATAGTATGGTATTAAGGTTCAAATTGATTTTTAAGTATTATTACGAAACTTTTGTATAGGAATATAGAAAAAAGTTATTTTTAGACTTTTTCTAAGAACTTTTTTTGTAAGAACCATCTTCGTACTTCAAGTAATATTATAAAAAAAAGAATGAGCGAAATCGGTTCAGCTGCTCTCGAGATTTGCGCTTAGCAACACATTCAGCGATTCATTTTTATATTATAGATGGTAATTTTGCTCGGCGGTTAAAGAAAACATCGCGAATAACTTGCGTGCCTAAAAAAATTAAAAAAATCACCGACATGAGAAGTGAAAAAGTTTTGAAAATATCGATAGACTTATGTAATTAGGAATTATAAAATATCTTTCTGACAATGTGCTTTTTATATCATTTATATGTTCAATATGATAGGTAGATACGATTTTATGCCACAAAACGTTTTGAGGCGCTAGTAGAACATACCTACGCGCTTTGCGCTTACGGCATGCAATTAATTGATGACAAAATTAATTGTTAGGTACCTTTGGAATAATAAGGAAAAGTAAATAAGAAAACATTTTTTACTGTAATATGTGTATCTTATTTATAAATCTGCAAATAACTTCACAGTAATGTCTTTTTAAAAATGATATTAAGTAACATTTCGTATAATTTTCATAAAGCTTTACTACCACTAACTTTTCTATTTTTAATAGGAACCACGGTTTCTCTTGGCTTTAACAACACAAAATACACTAGAAGACACATATAACTTAACAACATACCACCAAAAGTTGCCATCACAACAAATCGTCTCCACCAACTGTCGAAATAGTTATCAATGCTTGCCCACAACGCTATAAAAATAATGTTCTCAATGGTACAGGCTATGAGCCAAAACACGTGCCACACTCGCACGTGTCTAAAGCGTATCTTAAATTCCATTAAACAAAATAAATAGATAAAAGCAAGAAACATATAAAATGCCCTCTTTATTGTGCTAGCCTGTGGAACTATTAGAAAGAGTAACATAATTTGATAATGAGAGAAAAGAATTATAATAGCCACGTAAGGAAAGAAATTGATAAATGCGGATATAGAGAGCAATCGTGATACAAAGAAGGAGTACCAACCCAAGTACTGAACTAAGCCGGCTGTTATATCTTGAGGTTCGAGACCACGGATGAAAGATCTGGGAACACGACGTGGAATATCAGGCTCATCTTGAACTACCTCCCAATGTTTTCTTCGGGGTGGAGCTGATAGCCAGGTGGGAATATTTTCTGCATTTTCAACGATTTTTTCTGCCCAGAGTGCTAACGAGCCAGGTCTAGGCGCATCCATTGCTGGCGGCGGCGGCACATAAACATTTTCAATAACATATTCCCTCTTTTGTCTTAGAGGGGCCACTTTGTCTACAACTGATATTGGACGAACATATTCGTTATCACTCCCAGTATTTTCATCACGTAACATAATCGGCGACAAGTAGTTTGAACTTGTATCAGAATCAAATGCACTATCTTCATTTAGCGAAGAGGTCATTTCTGAATTGCGTGGGGAGAATTGGATCAAATCATTATTCACCTCATTTTTACTATCGGTAGATTTATTAGAACTACTACTTTGTCTTTTAATTGGTACGTAAATATGTTCGGATATAATATTATCTTCATTGCGTTTTTCGAACTCTTCGTTTTTAACATTTTCCTTTTCAGCATCCCCTGCATTACCCCATGGATATTTACGACCACATATTTTTTCTCGTTCAAATCTTCTGTATAAGGTAGCCGTGCTTGCCATTCGCATACACGATGCGATAATACTAACTGCTTGAACTGAAACTATAAAATATAAATTAAATTAAACGCGATAAAATCCGTAAAATTTGTTTTATCCAATGTATAGTATTAGAGTGAATAAAATAAATCGTTATGTTATCATTCTTGACCAACATAAACAAACTTTTACCTTTATCAAATGCTGGATCGGAAAACCGCAACATTAGATCTAAAATGTTAACGATTGCGTGAGGTGCTGAATGTATGAAAGCTTGAAGGAACAAATACAACTCCAGTGATGACGGCGCTCGTGCAAATAACAATGCTTCTTCTATGCGTTCTTCATCTTCTGCATAAGAGGCGAAGACGCCTTCAGTCCACCAAAATATTAAATAACAATATCTGAAATTTTAAATAAAACGAGTCATACATTGTCCTGCGTTATTTTTTTATTACCGTGTCAAGCTTTTGATTATATCTATAATAATTCGATAGTTAAACTAATTAAGACGTCAATTAAAGATTATGACGACGCATCTGCATTTTGATTCTTTATTGATGAATTACAAATAATACTTATATAGGTTTTACAAAATGATCACTAATTTAAATTGAATTCTATCTCAATAAATCACAATGACATTCTTATAAGTAGTTAAATACGCTTCCTCTCTCCTAGCCCCTAAATTGCGTGCCCAACAGGGTCCATAACACTGGTCTCACATTATTTTATAACATCTTGTGTACATTATGGTTTAGCAATAAAAGTTTGAGTTTGAGCTTGAGCTATGGGTCACAGTAACCATTTACCATCAGGTGGACTGTGTGCTCGTTTGTCACCCTTTATGGATACTATAAAAAAAATTAATTAGTTTGGCTGACCTTTTAAAAATGAAGCTTGTAATTGGTACTACAACAACTCCACAATAATACTAGTACATATTTCATTCACAATAAGAATTTTTTTTCTGCCGACTTCAAAAAGGAGACGGTCCTCGATTCGACTGCATGTTTTTTTAACTTTTTACTGGCTGAACTGATTTCGATGATTTTTTTTTATTTGAAAGCTGGTGCTTCACATGCTTAATAGTTTTTGAGTTATTCTTAATAATTTATATTGAATTTGGATGTACAAAACATTTAATTTTAAATTAAACGTTTTGTACGAAAAATTCAATGCAATATATACCGATATTATTATTTAAAACACATAAATGGAAAAGAATGGATAAAGAGCGTCCATTATATTAATAATTAATTATTATACATACTAGGGCTGGTTAAATATTTCGCGGAATGACAGATAAGAACACTTAAATCGTGGGTCAATTTCAATGTATTCTGCCTTAACCCTTACACATTTTTCAGATCTATGGAATAACTTATTAATGCCGTCGAAAAAAATTATTGTCAATGCTTTCAAAATAAACCAAAAATGTCAACTTGACTTCATCGTCTTTTTTATTAGACTCGATTAGGTTTAAGCTTGGTATATATACATATGTTAGCGTTAGAATGCGGAATGCGTTAATGTGCACATTAGTTAGATAATCTACAGATTATGTGGTGCGATCCGTTAATGTGCGAAATTTTACTTAAAGTAGCAAATATCTGCACTTTACCTAGTTAATTTACATATTAACGGATGCTCACCGATAAATTGCGGAAGACCTCTCTGTCTTCCCTTTAATTATTATGTTTTGTGAATGATTGTTGTCTTTATTGTCGGACTGTTTTTAGTTTTGTTTTATATTAATTTTACTCTGAAGTAAGTGTTTAAATTCCTATAGTTAATTTCAGTTTTAGTTAGTACCCAATTTGTTGACCAAGAATGTCATACAAAACTACTTATGACCTAAACTTTTTGAATTTTTGAAATTAAAAGTTCAATTCTTTCAATATTATATTTTATATCATTATAATGTACGCGGTTTTAGGCACCCTCCCCAGCCACACCTTAATCTACTCTTACTGATATTGCGAGGCAAATCCACTTTTGACTAAGAACGTTGGTCAAAACCACGTTTAACTACAAAAATCAGCCAAAATTGTTTTTTACTAAGGGCATCTATATCATAAATACATACCACTGCACTGATTTTTTAAGTTTCTTTTTTTCATAAGTAGTTTTGACCGATGGTATGAATTATTACAATGAATTCGAATGTTATATTCAAAAAACAATTTTATTCACTTAAACGAATGCTTAGTCGCTTATTAGTCGCTATTCTGCAGATTACCTAGGAAGTCTGCAGATTAACTAGTTAAAATAAGAATTTTAGCGTTAACATAGATACTGATAATGATAGATACTGATACTGATATTTTAATTAGTTACGTTCTGGATAAGCATCAAACCCACGCCAACCCTTTCATTTCCCGTAAATTTTGACCTCACCTCTTATCCAGTGTAATACTAACCTACCGATAGCTGCAATAGGAAAAAATATAGCATTAACAATTTGCATTAGAATCCATTTCAAGTCATTCTTCCCAATCGTCATTTCAAAGGCGGTCATTTCTGTTTGCAGTCCTGGTGGTGGCGATGCTAACGTGAACACCAACGATAGCAAAGCCGGAAAACTCATAAGAATTATGCAGAAAACAGCAAGTCTAAAAGAAATTACATACTTATTATTTATATACTTATTAAATATAAATGATTAAATTGAGTAAATTATCACATCATTAAAAAGAATAGAATAAATTTTTATTCAATATAGATTTTGGAAATAATTTTTAACTTTTGTCACATAATTATACCTAATTAATTACACTCGTAGGTCAATCGTTCAGCTTATGAGAGCGACTGCTGGATGTAATGTACTGCACATAAGCGGTCACAACTTTAGGTGTTCATGCCCATAGCCTGAATTTAGAACCTAAGCCCAGCCTGTCTGAGTATTACACCGCCATTAATAAGGAGAGCAAAGTAGTAAAAAAAAGAATAATGAAAAGGACACGATATTTATGATAAAAGGAAATTAATAGATAGATTACGGTTGCAGTAAAATGATACAGAATGAATGGCAGAGCCGGGTTAAATATAAAGCAAGCAATTTTTAAATATCTTACGCGTCATCACCGTTACGGAAATGTTCGTAAATAAGAGTCATATCGAAACAAATAACTGTCATGTACACAACAAGTCCTCCCCAAGATGGCAAAACCCGATGGAGAAGTAACGCCTGCCATACTGGTAATTTCTTTCCCAGTATTTCCCCTGAAACTTCTTTGTCTAATTCACATACTACCATTTTTGTGTTTACACTGCACTACACTAGAATTATTGTACAACATAAAATAGTACATTGTTATAATATTAAATTAATAAAAGATATATTGATTTTCACTTTGAAACTCAATTGCAAGAACAGGTTTTGCACATTTACAAAAATCTCTTTAACAGTAAAAACATAGGAAAACACACAAATAAGTGAACAAAAACATTGCAACATTCTCCCCACACCTATTGATAATAACTGATAAGATACAACTTGTTGACTCAGAATGATAGTAGATACTTACTTTGACATAGATTTATTTTTGATCCCAAATCACAATAAATTAAATTAACATAATATTACAGCTTTGCTTCTTTACATATCTTTTTTCTATAATTGATCTAACACAAATTTACAGACCAACTGATGGTATGTGGTTAAAGCAGCCAATCAACATCTGCATCCAACGTCAAACAAAAAAGCTACAGATTCGTTGTCACCTGTGAGATCTTTATATGGAATGCCACACAACCTATAATTAAACCGACACTCTTTACCCTTCAATCGGAATACAGCATTGCAATGCTGCTTGCATCATTGCTGCATCAAGCTAGACTGCCTGAGCTACAAAGACAGCCTCCTAATTAGAAAAGGAGTCCACTAGGTACGTAGGTAGTCCTACTACCTACCCACCTAGTGGAATATAAAGTAGCTGCAGATCTCTCTAGTTTTAAATATTGAAGAAACTCTATTAAATTTCGCATTGCTTTCCCCATAAGATTTTATTTTGTTTTTTATAATATACGGGCGACAAACGGAGTGGTGATCCTTTAAAAAAAACCGGCCAAGTGCGAGTCGGACTCGCGCACCGAGGGTTCCGAACAAATCCGTAGGTTTAAAATTTTTAAAAATATTTTTATTATATGATTTAAGTAAAAATTTATACTTTTCGCAATTATTTCTTTATCTGTGCTATAATACGTTGCTTCGTACCAAATTTTAAGATTCTGAGTTCACGGGAAGTACCCTGTAGGTTTTGATTCCCTTGCGAATGTCGAAAATTTACAGCATAAACGGCTGTCTTTTGAATTCTCTATCTTTTGATTGCGTTGGCTTAGAAGTTTGATTTTTTCACAGCTCCAAGGGACATTAGATTTGAGTATTTGATAGTAATTTCAGCTTGATACCTCCACGCGTTCCTCAGAAAAAGGGTCTTGACCGACAGACAGACAGACGGACAACAAAGTGATCCTATAAGGGTTCCGTTTCTTCCTTTTGAGGTATGGAACCCTAAAAAACAAGCAAGCGCATAGTCCACCTGATGCAAAGTGGATGCTTCGGCCCATAAGCATTTACCGCTATCCGCTATTAAAGATCAAAATGCAAATGCGTTGTCACCCCTGAGGATTATAACGGAATGCCTCGTTACTAGTTCTTTCCACTCTACGAAACACAATAGTATTATTTTATTATAATACTAGCTGGCCATGCAGACGTTGTTCTGCCCTCTCCGACGACCCTTTCTATGAAAAAATCCTTAAATTCGCAATAAAGAAATATTGAAGGTCACTTATCGGAATTAAAAGTATCCTATCTCTCAAGTTGAACCAAACTGCACAAAGAGTGCAAAATTTCATTGAAATCAGTTCAGTAGTTAAGGAGTTCATCGCGGGCAAACAATGTGACACGTAATCTATACATATAATAAATCTGTAGAAAAGTCGTGTCTGTAATTCTAATATATTCTTGAAAAAATAAGTCCAGGGGACTAAATAAAGGGTTCTGAAGCTAAATTAGTGGTTTTTAGAATTTTTGTCTGTCTGTCTGTCTGTCTTTCTGTCTGTCTGTCTGTCTGTCTGTCTGTATATTCCGGATTCACGCAAAAACTACTGAACCGATTAACATGAAATTTTGTATATAGGTAGTGAGTAACCCGGGGAAACTTATAGGGTACTTTTTATCCGATTACGGAACTTCAAAAAAGGAAGGTTATGTATTCTATTTCCTTTAAATGTTAGTTTAGCTATTATATCTTAGTTATAGGCGGAATGACGGGTGTTTTTCAAATAAAAACCATATTTGTAAATAAAGTTTAACATATTATAGTTATAATCTTGGTAAAATAATTTAAAACTACACCGATTTGGTATTCAAAACATCGCCATCTATCATCAAATGGAAAAAGTAGTAAATTTTGCTTTAAGTTACTAATAAATGAAATAATATAAATAACTTACATTTATATGATTAAAAGATTAGATTTTTAAAATTATTAAAAAACTCTACGTTTAGTTTTTTAGTATTTTTGTTATTTTATTTTAAAAGTGTAATTTCAATAGATAATGGTGACGTATATCAAAAATATGAAAATTGATAAGGTATTTATTTCAATCACTAATATATATGTAAAGTGATTAAAACCGGTCTGTCTACAATTGTTGCAAATTTTTCATTATGATTATCATTTTATTAAACAGATTTTTATGTATGTCGTGGCCAGATCGTAGAATTGATCATATATCATAAAGTAGTCTATCATTTCGTGAAATGACACTATAGCTTGAATAAATCAATGAATAGAAATCGTTTGAAGATATTAATAACTAAACACAATGTTGCTATTTCATAATATGGGCATATGACGATATCATTAAATCGTTTTTCACCGCTACCGGCGCTGATAGCGCATTTTTAACAGAAATTTTAAGAGAATTGACATCACTTTATTCCTTATTGATATAATAAATAAATGTTCGCTTCTATTGCTGATATTACTAGATGGTATAGTTTTGGCTTTCATTATTTCATCTAATATTAGCGCCACCTACTTACTTCTAAATAAACTAAAATGGGAAGTCATTGATAAAATGAAATAATACAATGCTACTGAAAAAACGATGTAAATAATTGAATCATTTACATTACATTCATCCCGCGTTGGAATCAGCGCAGCGAACACTTTTTTGGCCAAAAACTCTGCGGCCTGTGCCCAGTAGTAACACGTATGTAAGCTGCTGCTTTTTTACTTTTCATGGGGCAATATATGCAGTTTTTATTTCAGTCGTGTTTTAGGGCATGTTACTTTTTGTTTTCACTCTGCCGTAAATATTAAGGCTTGCAAAGATGAGTAGAACTCATTATCGTCAGCCTATCAAAAGTCCACTGAAATTAATATAGGCCTCCCCCATTAATTGTCAAGTAGTAGTCAACGCTTGGCAGGCGGGTTGGCAACCGCAGCTATTATTATTTTGATCTGTTGTCAAGAAGATGATGCAGCCCACCCATCTTCAGTTTGTTTTCATATGTCACCTCTTACGACGGGACGATATGAGGTGGTGGATTTTATTTCACCGCCACAACAGGGCGAACATTTTTCTACTCCTGTTCATGGGTGTAGTGCTCCTCACGTTCACTGTGAATAAAATGTATATAAGGAATAAAACTAATTTTAAGGAATTTATTGCGTTTAATTTAATTTTTCAAATTCCCGATCTTTTGGGCACTTTACAGCAACCATGGTTACGGGAGGGACTGGAGAACTGAGGTGTTTGACGACCTGATGTCATCGTTAAAATAGAATAGAATAAATGTAGTAGTAGTTTGAATTTAATTTATTAATTATGGGGTCCTTGGCAGATGGTAGCACGCAACCATCTTCCCTATTAAAATTAGGATATTTTTAATTTCAATAGCCTCGCGAATCATCATTGGTAGGATTCGGTATTCTATTGAAAGGATTTGTTGTCTATCAGATCCGATATAATGGTTGGGACGATACTAAACATGTTGACATACTTTAGACTTCCCGGAGCTTCGGTGCTTCACATCAACGATATGTTCTTGTACTCGGAACTTTCATCCAAGATGCGTAAAAAAACCCGTAACATTAGTTTTAATCCATTTGCAGTATTCATTATTATAGAACTGTATTTATGATGTTTTCAAGTCTACTCCAAGTGAAAAAATCTACATCTATTTTATGGTGCCAATCAATATTAAATAGGCCCAATGATATGAATGTCTCAAATAAATAATATATTACTTTGTTAAAACTAAATTAAAGTTAATTAGTTAGTTAGTTTAAAAAACTATGAATAATTTGTAAAGAGTAAAATGTAAATAATAATAATAATACATTTTGATTTCAAGACTATTTACCTTTCTTATAGATACATCGGAATTGGAAGACACGCCCGATATAAAAAATAGTAGGTGTTTCTAGACATATGTATATATTCACGTGTTTCTGTAGCATGTTACCAATCATATACGTCTAATATTTTAGAATGAAAAAAAAATCTTTGACAGACATAGAGACATAGACATCGAGGTGACTAAAAGTGATCGAATTTTTCTAAATTTGGCACGGAACAGCATTTAATGATGTTCCTAAATACAAGCACACGCGAGCGAAGCCGCGGGTAAAAAGCTAGTTGTTATATATAAAGATTAGCAGTAAAAAGGTATCCAGTTTTCTACACTCTTTATTATTTCACGTTGGTATTCTGTAAGAGCGTTGTCGTACCTTGGCCGAGCCGACCCATTCGTGCTGCAGCAATAATATGGCTGCAGTGCAGTATGGTTCTACTGCAGAATTGGTATATTTCATGTAAACGTTATTCCATCAAAATAATAAATGTTGTTTGTTATTGACAAAAGTGTAATAGTGATATTAGTGACGAGAATATTATATTTAATTTAGAAACCGAGGGTCAACAATTCATGCACTTAAAGTCCATCTATCTAGCATCACATTAATCTTGAAGTCTCCATTAACAAAGAATATATATTTTGCATCGTATTCAATCGATTTAAAAAGTCTATTTTCACAAAAATAGAGATACACGCTACGATTTCATTTAAAGTGGTAGAGCTACGCTTCATCTTTGTATACCTGTAGCACGCATGGTTCGGCTCGACCGGGGTAGAACCACACTCTCACAAAATACCAGCGTGAAACAGCAGAATAATGCTGCAATGCAGTATTGTGAGTGTAAAGAAGAGGAAGAAGAGGCATTCCTTCTTCGTCCTCA